TCAATCCACGTTATAATAGAATGTTCAACACACAAAGTCGAAAAGAAACTATTACTGTTTAATAGACCCAGTTATAAAGGTTTACTGAAACCATTCAATCATAGTGTGTTTGCCTGTTGGTTGTAATTTAACTGATCATGCATCCTTTCAATCTAACATATAATTATTATCGACATTCACACAAGACAGTCGAAACCTCGTCTGAAAACGAGCGTAAAGCGAAATGCCTGATTTGAACGAGTGAGGGTGTACAGACGCTTTTAACATTATTCCATCGAGGGACACCAAAACTTGGCTTTATACCATTTGTGGAATCGAAATTGAGGCGTTGAAAATATCGATATGGTAACAGCGGGACTATTTTCGTTTCATGGACCCTGGTATCTCAAGTGTATTTCTTGAGTGAGTGAGTGAGTGAGTGAGTGAGGTTTTACACCACTTTTAGCAATATTCCAGCAATATCAAGGCGGGGACACCAGAAATGGGCTTCACACATTGTACCCATGTGGGGAATCGAACCTGGGTTTTATACGTGACGAGCGAACACTTTAACCACTGGGTTACCCCAGCGCCCGAGGGCCCCGTTCCCCAAAGCGATCGTAACCCTAAAGTCATCGTAACTCCCATACATTAACATAGTCGTACGACCGTCGTAGCTCTACGATCGTTTTGACTGACTGAGTTTGGTTTTACGCCGCTTTAAGCAATATTCCAGCAACATCACGGCGGGGGACACCAGAAATGGGCTTCACACAATGTACCCATGTGGGGATTCGAACCCGGGTCTTCGGCGTGACGAGCCAACGCTTTAACCACTAGGCTACCCCGCCGCCCCGATCGTTTTGAGGAAGTGGTTATTATGAATACAAAACAGTTCATGTATGTGAGCAAAGGATGTGGCGGTAACTGGTTTTACGAACAAAAGCTCTGACTCACGCGGCTGACAATTTTACGTTATATAAGGGTAGAGGGTTGGTGAGAATGAGGGGAGCCGCGGATGACTTAGTCTGTCTCACAGTCCCTGAACCACATTATTTCCCTACTGCCTAGCCCTCTCTGCAGTGCTAAAGTCTTAAATAAAGCAAGTCTAGATTTCAGGTTCAGGAATCTGAATCTCTGGTCTCCTGGGGCTCCTTTTCAATTTAAATGGGCTTGTTTGTTACTATCAAAATTATATATATTCAGAGACTAAGCATTAGTCTACGGATGACTGTATCACTATACGAAACTGGATTGTCTGGTCCAGACTCGATTATTCACAGACCGATAGCTGGAATTAACAACAAGAAACAATACTGACAACATTTATGGATAACAACTTCCTTATTTGGTGAGTGCGACGTTTAGGTACAGATTCTTGTCCGCAGCTGAGATTCGATGACAATTATCAATCGGTTCAGCGACCCTTTAATCGCCTGTTACGACAAATATGGGTTGTTGAGGGCCAATCCTTCAGATTTAAAAACTTTCATTAGTTCGGACAATAATAGTTAAGTACTAGTACTTTGCTTATACGTGCCATAATTGATACGTACATGGTTGATACGGGTTATAGCTAAAACGGCACCACAGCAGAACGGCACCAAATTTGTGTGGCGAAAACGGCACCATATTGGCGAAAACAGCTACTGATTTCTCGGCTAAAACGGCACCATATAAAAAACAAAGTAAGACGTTGACTCATGTTTTATTTCATTTCATTATAACATTAGCAAGATTATATCAACATATGAGTCATTCTCAAAATCTGTGCATATTTATGTCAGATGTTTGTATCCGACAAACTTAAGTCAAAATCAAACCAAAAAAATTATGGTAACTAACTTATCACAATATTTTTCTACACTTTACAGTAACAAAAGTAGGGAAACTATATTTTTATATTTACTTTACACCACCCAATTTTACTCCATGTTCATGTGTCACAACTCCAGTGGCTGATGTCACAGATGTGGCATTTGAATTTTTTTGTATTTTTCATAAGCAATAAATATACAATTTCAAAACTCCATGTTATATTGTAAAACTAGATATTTTAATATATAATGTACATGAAATAAATATTATCTTTGGATTTTTTATTTTCAAAATGATGTTACAAATTTCGTAACGGCAGTGACAAATTTCAGGAAATGTCTAATAAAAAATGGTAAAATATGAAAAAATGAAACATCATTAAGCTTGCATAATATATGTTATGTATATTCAGAAAAGTTATTATGTTATGTATACCCAAAAGAAAAAAATCCCCATAAAACCAAAAACTAACAAACAAATGCAGAGCCCAATGACCAGCCGCACCACCCTTCACGGCGGCGTGACTTCGTCAGCCCAAATCATTATGTCGCACCGTACAAACAGACAGATTTTGTCAATGGGATTCATTAGGATTGTGACCATCTCGGCACAAACAGAGTTTTTCAGTGGGATTCACTTAGGATTGTGACCATCTCGGCACAAACAGATAGAGTTTGTCAATTGGATTTACTGGTGATTGTGACCATCTCGGCACAAACAGACAGAGTTTGTCAATCGGATTTACTGGCGATTGTGACTCATCTCGGCAATAAACGGTTTGTCAGTGGATTCACTGGGGAAACAAATATTTTCTTTTAGATTGAACAGGTGCCCCGGTGAGACAGTAGATTCGGGGGTTGGGCGGAAGGGGAAATATTGCAGTTCATGGACTGTGAGACTATATCCAGGGTCATTTTCAAAAGCAAAGTGGTTAGATTTTACTAGCGCTTCTTTTCATTTTGTTCAATAACGAAGCAGGGTTTTTGGTCTGTCTCACAGTCCCAGAACTGCATTATTTTTCCTTCGACCAGCCGTTTCGGCAGTTCTAAAGTCTTAAATATAGCAAATTTTGATTTCCTCAGGTTCAGGTCCCATCTCAATGGAACTCCTTTTCAATTTAAAGGGTATTATCCTTTTCTATAAACATCACACTCCACACTGCGGTCTGTAAATAATCGAGTCTGGGCCAGGCATGCCAGTGATGAGCATTGATCTCCATAATTGAGATACGAAAATATGATTGTGTCAACCAACCCCTTGAGTTGCCTCTTTGGACAAGCATGGGTTGCTGAAGATCGATTCTAACCCGGATGTTCAAGGATTTGTTTACGATTACAGTGAGTACCGTGTATACTGTCCTGATAATTACTTTTCTAATCACATCAGTATGTGTAAGTCGGTTTTCAATCCACGTTATAATAGAATGTTCAACACACAAAGTCGAAAAGAAACTATTACTGTTTAATAGACCCAGTTATAAAGGTTTAGTGAAACCATTCAATCATAGTGTGTTTGCCTGTTGATTGCAGTTTAACTGATCATGCATCCTGTCAATCTAACATATAATATGGTAACAGCGGGACTATTTTCGTTTCATGGACCCTGGTATCTCAAGTGTATTTCTTGAGTGAGTGAGTGAGTGAGTGAGTGAGGTTTTACACCACTTTTAGCAATATTCCAGCAATATCAAGGCGGGGACACCAGAAATGGGCTTCACACATTGTACCCATGTGGGGAATCGAACCTGGGTCTTATGCGTGACGAGCGAACACTTTAACCACTGGGTTACCCCAGCGCCCGAGGGCCCCGTTCCCCAAAGCGATCGTAACCCTAAAGTCATCGTAACTCCCATACATTAACATAGTCGTACGACCGTCGTAGCTCTACGATCGTTTTGACTGACTGAGTTTGGTTTTACGCCGCTTTAAGCAATATTCCAGCAACATCACGGCGGGGGACACCAGAAATGGGCTTCACACAATGTACCCATGTGGGGATTCGAACCCGGGTCTTCGGCGTGACGAGCCAACGCTTTAACCACTAGGCTACCCCGCCGCCCCGATCGTTTTGAGGAAGTGGTTATTATGAATACAAAACAGTTCATGTATGTGAGCAAAGGATGTGGCGGTAACTGGTTTTACGAACAAAAGCTCTGACTCACGCGGCTGACAATTTTACGTTATATAAGGGTAGAGGGTTGGTGAGAATGAGGGGAGCCGCGGATGACTTAGTCTGTCTCACAGTCCCTGAACCACATTATTTCCCCTACTGCCTAGCCCTCTCTGCAGTGCTAAAGTCTTAAATAAAGCAAGTCTAGATTTCCTCAGGTTCAGGAATCTGAATCTCTGGTCTCCCTGGGGCTCCTTTTCAATTTAAATGGGCTTGTTTGTTACTATCAAAATTATATATATTCAGAGACTAAGCATTAGTCTACGGATGACTGTATCACTATACGAAACTGGATTGTCTGGTCCAGACTCGATTATTCACAGACCGATAGCTGGAATTAACAACAAGAAACAATACTGACAACATTTATGGATAACAACTTCCTTATTTGGTGAGTGCGACGTTTAGGTACAGATTCTTGTCCGCAGCTGAGATTCGATGACAATTATCAATCGGTTCAGCGACCCTTTAATCGCCTGTTACGACAAATATGGGTTGTTGAGGACCAATCCTTCAGATTTAAAAAACTTTCATTAGTTCGGACAATAATAGTTAAGTACTAGTACTTTGCTTATACGTGCCATAATTGATACGTACATGGTTGATACGCACGAGGAAAATGCAATTCTGCTTTTACGATGTAATTAACCTTGCTGAATCTGTAAAAAGTAAAGAGTGCAAATTGATATTCTCCCGTTCGACTTTAGCTTTCACTTATTTCTTATAAAGCCTATGAGGCACCATCCCTGACTTTTTAAACTCAACTCGTGTACGATAAATGGATTACAGTTAAAAAAACGTTTTCTGTATAATCTATGGCAGTTCCCTCAGTCAATGGCTCTATGTTGAAAGCTTTTGCTGTTTGCCAGCTGGTTGTGGAAAGGATGAATGCTCCCTTGCTATTAATAAAAGTTCTAAAAAAATATATATAGCCACCAGAACTTGGATAAACAGTCCACTTATACAGCAGCATTATGCCGATCGTTTTTTCGTTTCCCAATTGCGATCACTTTTGCATAAAACCTACCGGAAGGTTTGTGTTTACCATTTCCGGTTATGTCGGTGAACGAGTGGATGTTTTATTCTTATATTTGTGCATAATTCCATTCATCATGCAGCAACCACCACCACAACGATATCCTTCGCAGGGTCCACCCATGAGACCACCATATACCCAGGCTAGTTACCCCCAGGTAAACCAGTTATTCCCAAACAGCCAAATTTGGAGGAGACGCTGACATTCTTGAAACAAAGGGAAATTACATTTATGTAGCATACTCTGCCTAACTTTATGTGTTTTAATGAATTATACATGTTATTTCACTTTGTGTCTGTTAATATCGTAACTTATATGTCTGGGGTTGGGTTCGGGTGTAAGAACCCGGTTTTACATGACTAGTCGTGAGTTCATTATTCACGTGTTTCCTATTTTCGCGGCAATGGTCATACTTTCTCTATCGTGCCTGCTCTCATTTCAGAAAGATGGTTGATATTATTCTAGGGAAAGATTTCCGCCCGTAACCCCAGTTTTTTAAAATCATTCTATGTCTTAGAATAGACAGTGTTTTGTTTTGTGAAAGTGTGTGCTTATAGTTTTGGTTTTTTTAAGCGTTTAAAGGGTGTTTAGAAGTTTTGGAGAATAAAAAGATTCACATGTCAGGACCAAACCCTAACAATTCAAGCGGGAACTCACATTACCAGCATGGAACTCACATTACCAGCATGGAACTAAGCTAGGCAGTAGACTAATGAGTTGATCTAATCAGAACTTTACCATCAGACCATGAAATGTCGCCCAAAATTAGTGTGAGTTTCTGAAGTTACCAACACCCTGTTTGCCTTGATGCGTATGGACTGTAGCCATTTTCTCTCCACAACTCAAAACCTTGGAAAGAGTTCCCTACGTACCCCCAGCCTATTTTATTAAGGTACTGTTCATTACTTATTATATATCTTTTCTTTGTCCAAAAGATTAGGTGGGGGGTACGTAAGGAACTCTAACCAAAACACGATTCATCAGAGTACATGATATGATTTTGGAAACAAAATATGAAACAAGTATGAGATCACCTCATTTATTGTTCATTAACATCTTTATTTGTATATTGTAATCATAACTTTCACACTAAGAGCTACAACAAAAGTATGCTTATAAAATGGCAGGTTAGCTTGATAATTGTATAAATGAAACTAAGGTAATGCTTGAATTTATTAATATGTACAAATATTGACATGATATTTATTTTCAATTTGAAGAATATTATGTTTTATCACATACTGACATGAGTATGATTGATTATTAATTGTTAGTTTCTAACATTAGTAAAAAAAGCCCAACTTGTATTTGAATTAATATGCATATGACTCCCTTGAATTCTGAGGAGTCAAGATGAATCCCATTTTCATTCCCATAGGGCAATTCCTGTATGTGACCCATGGCCAAGATCATCCTCATCAGCTGTGTTGCTGATTTGTAAAGTTGCTCCATGTGTAACTGAAGTCAACTGTGTGTTTGAGTCAATAATGTGTGACATAAGTTAAAATCACATACTGCTTCAACAAGGTGAAGAGAGTGCTTTCCATGTGTTCTGTGTATCTTGCCTTTATCAGGTGTGTACCGGGTGTTTACAGGTGTCACACTAATTGACTAAAGCTGTAAAGGACATGTTGTTTTTTTCCTGACAGTGTTATTTGTACACTGCAGGTACTGGGCGCCCATGATGACAAGTGAATGATACAAGAGAATTATTTCAATAGAAAAATAGTTGGATATAGCTGTTTTCACTGCTTAATAAACTGTAACCTCATATTCTTAAACATGTCAAAACTAGCAAGTATCCTTGCAACATGTGCATTGTTGTAGTAACCAGCTGCTTTTGGTTACAGCTGGTTAAAGGTATGTAAGCATATCAGTGGATAGCGTCCTGTACAGTGTATTATGTACTGCATTTTTGTTATAATCATGGAAGCATGTGTTGTGAAAAAATGGTTGTTGTTTTTATATGCTCCTAGAATTGTAGAAAGGGACTTTAGTATAGTTAAGTTCAATTTGATCACCATGATCATGCTGATGATTTTTTCTTTTTGTCAGATGAACATGTTGAAGTGGTTCCTGGAAACAGTTCATTTAAATCAACATGTTTCCGTAGACTAATATTCAGTTTGTGTGGAAAAGGCTCAAGGCCAAGAGCCACCAAGCCATTCATGTCTGGAATCTCACAATCTTCAATCGTTAAATGTGTGCATTTCAATAGTGCACATGTGAACAAGAAGAGAACATTTCTTGCAATATTTTCACCAACACATGATCTTTTTCCATGCCCAAATGGCAGGAAATGTTTCAGTTTATGATGAGGAATACACTTTCCATTATTGTCAATGAATCTCTCAGGCTTGAAAGTATTTGGTTCTTTCCAGTATTTTGTATCATGATGGATATGCCAAATGTTGCATAATGCTATAGTACCTGCAAAGAAGAAAAACATAGTATATACAGTAGGAATGTTCTCAGTTTACTTTTGTGTAATTTCCTTGTCTTTGACAATGTTCATGATCATCATGATCATAATAATGAAAGTCTGGAGATGGCCATGTGCCAAATATGTACTGTTGAAAATCCTGAGTTTTGTTGCTTCTGAAACCCTGAAAGCCACAGACAGCTTATCATTGGAATTGTACAATAACAAGAGGTTAGGTGAGGTGAAATGGGGTTTAATGTTGTACTTAAGAACATTTTGTTCATATGACGATGTGCATGCGTGTGTATATGTGGCTGCTTGTACTAGCCCAGCTCGCTTTATAGTGCTGGCTCACTGAGATTCCATGCCGTAGTTAAGCATGAATACCCCACTCAGACACATTATATTGACTCCGGGTCAACCAGTCCTTGTTTTACCCTTTAATGCTGAGCGCCAGGCAGGGACCAACAAATGTCATATTTTAACTTCTTTTGGTATGACGCGGTCGGGGATCAAACCCACAACCTTCAGCTCTCTGGGCAGTTTACAATAACAAAAAGGAAATACCTTTTGGCAGTGTGTAGGAGCCCACGTTGATCGTGTGTTGAAGAGAGGTGTGGGGTATTCCTAGTGGTATAGGTGGAGCTATCCGCAGCACTTCCATCACTATGGCCTCTACACTCCAAACAGTAACCAATAGTTAAAAAACAGATATGTTCTGATGAAGTATTTCATGGTACACTTGTTTGGTCCAAGGTGGCGAAAGTCATTTGTGCAGACTTGCATCAATTGAACAGGTTCTGCTGTGTTCAGATCACAGATATTAATCCTTTGTTTTACAGTAGAGTTGCAGATATTTCTGATTGTGATGTTAGTTCAGATTTGGCCAACACAAAAATTATGATCATGTTGTTCAGGGAAGACGATTATCTCCCTTTGACCACAAGATTCAGGTCTGTGACCTGTCAATGCTTCAGTAATTTTTGTGTGTGTACACTTTCCATGTAGATAATTTCAAATATAGTAATATTTAGAGTATTTTACCTATGTATGGAAGCAGTGGCTTGTCTTCTAGGGTAGGCATCCTGTCAATAGGAACAACTGATTTCATGAGAGCCACAGCTCGGTCTTGCACATCAGGATGTATGGCCAGGTACAACATCAGCCATTGAATAGAGTTTTGTGTTGTATTCATACCTTGGAACGCAACAGAAAAAGAAATCAGTGAACTGTATTTAATTATTTCCTTGCTGTTTGTACAAGATGTGAGTATGATGCTGTAAGTTTCTGTTAATTTTCATGCCCAGATGTTTGTTTGTGTTTTGGGTGTTTCAACTCACACTCAGCAACATAACAGATATATGAGGGTCTGTAAATAATCAAGACTGGACCGGACAATCCAATGACTGACGTCAAAAGTGTTGATCTATGTAGTTTAGGTGACATGACATACTTCAGCCAACAGGGTTAGAACTTGACTTTTGAAGCTGCAAGCTAAATGAAATTTCAATAAGCAAAAACATGACAATAATTCCATATCCCCGATTCCTCACCACTTTCTCCTTCACACTTCCGTTTTAAGTAGTTTGTTATCATATTATTTGTAGTAATGTTTGATCATAAATGCCAAATTTAACAAATGCACATGGTTGCTCAGGTCGGCCATCATTGAATCGGAAAATCATGATGTTATACTAAGCATGTGATTGGCTGTAAGTTCCATGGATTTTATATCCAGAATCTTTCGTTATTTGTCGTCAATAAATAAAGGGAAGCAACTCCAAACTGAGTATGTTTGACGATGTTCATGCATCTGTAGCTAAGTATTGTTTGTAAAGTTAAATATAGTAACTTTAGTAACTGGCTGCACCTGCTACTTCCTTTGTCCAGCAAGACATCTTGATTGCCTCCATGCTTGGCTTGTTTGGATCCTGGTGTCTCATGGCAGCCATATGACCAAGAACTGAGAGTGGAATCGTGTGGGACTGTTGTGGAGAGTCTAGGAGACTGTACTGCCTCTGCAGCATCGCATCGCGTTCCTTCACAAACAGTACTTATATTATGCTTTGGAACAACAAAAACAACATGGAACTGGAGGTCTCGATTTTGTTTTACTTACTTGACCATCTCCAACAAAGATTTAACCATGAAGATGCGGGTTAGAATTGGTCTTAAGCAGCCCATGCTTGTCAATAGAGGCTGCTAATGGGATTGGGTGGTCAGGCTTCCTGATAGGGCTGCGCAATATTACCGGTATTTACCGGTTCAGACATGAAAACGATACGTATTGCGATACGCTGATCGAAAACTGGTATTTTGACATGCATTTGGAAAACTTCGTAACACTCGGAAATCTTCAGATATTTCCGTTTTTTTAATTGTTCTTTTCCCTGTTTCATTAGTGCCAAATGTTAATTACATGTTTATTTTGTCATGATTAAAAGTTTTTATAAACGGTTAATCAATCATAGTGATTTTGTTGTGTTTTTGCTTATGATCTAGCATTAACTCGATTATAAGTAGAGTTTGTTAAAAAAATAAGCCTTGCAATATTTTGCAATACATATTGCAATATGTGCTTCCGCATCGCAATATATCGCAATATGAAAATTCTCTGCAATACCCACCCCTACTTCCTGACGTGGTTGACACATGTTCCAGATGTATGGCAACAGTCTGTAAATAATCGAGTCTGGACCAGATAATCCAATGACCAACAACATGAACATCGATCT